ATAATATATATATAAATATATATATATATATATATATATATATATATATGTGTATATATATATATGTGTATATACATACATAACCTATCCTGAAATCTGACCTTGCAAGTTAAATGCCAGATATAAATCTTCATCTACTGTGAGAGTGGTTCTTTTGAGTAAACAACATCAGAGAATGAGAGAATTTCTCTCATTTCTCTCCAACACGCGAGTACTCTGATTCTTTTATCTTTAACAACTTAGTTTCAGCTTCTTTAGTAAATTTCTCCAAAGTCATTCAGCGTTCATAAAGCATTTATGCAGAAAAAGTATTTAAATGTTCTAATAGAATGAATATGTCGTGAGTTCCTTGGATGTCTCCGGTCCTACAGAGAGAGGTCCAACTGTAGTCACCACTGATTTATGGAGGGATCAGCAGAAACCCACATGGGAGCAGATTTTGATAATCCATCTGTCAACAGTTGAAGCTTCGAAGGCTTTTCTTGATGGCTAAAATAATTCATATTTGATGCGTTCCATGTTCATCGTCACGTGATTACAGAAAGGAGATAAGCTCCATGTAACGAGTAGTTTACAAACAAACTTCTCTACATTTTCACTTGCATGCATTTTCAAATTTGGTACAACATAGAAGTGTAATGTATGTATCGGTTAGATAAGAAGTGAGTTGTTTCATTTTACAGAGAGTTTAAAAAAACGCGGTGCTTTAATGCTAAAGATTAAGTATGATAAACATATTTTTCTCTTAATGGATTAGATATATCTAAGTATTTTTTATTTACAAGTTAAAAGCCCAGACATTTGTTAGAGAGCAGGTTTTTTGTTTTGTTTTCCAATGGAAACAACTCGACAACTTATGTCTTTTTTAGCTCTTATATAACACAATACTTTATTCTTGCAAGCCTTCTCAATATCACTTCCTCATGCATTACTTTATTTTGAGATTTAGCCAAAACAACCAAAACTTCATCCCTTCCTGTAATGAAAGATAAATTTATGTGTTCACAATGTGCTGTTACCACAAAATATGTAAACACAAATGCCTGACTTGTTTCTCAGATGAACTTTTTGGGTATGCTAGATAAACTGCAATGTTCTCCTTTCATTATTTTCCTGCACACAGGGATGAGATAATTATGGTGAGATAATTTTAGAATTGGTGTCACTCAGTTCGTCCAGCAGAGCCACTCAGACTCAGTTGCTTTAAAATATATTTTTCCAGCATGCAGCTCGTACAGCAGGGTACAAGTCTCACAGCTGAGGTGACAGTGGTGCTGAGTCAAGTAGTGGTATCATGATAAATGTCGTAAATATGTTTGTGAAATTTACTACAGGTAAGTTATTGAACAGGGCCTCAACAATGTATTTTACAACAACACCTGAAAATATTTTGATGATCAAGTTTTTTGCCACACAAAAAGTGGTTCTGGCCTCAGAGGTTTAGGATCAGTCAAGCACTAAAGTGAATATTAAATGATATCTCTACAAAAATAATCTATATGGCAAAGATAACTGTAGTTATTTAATGTTAAAAGATATTGGAAAAAACTCTCCTATCAATCCAACAATGTTCAGTGTCAGATGGTTTCATTTTTCTGCTGAAACATTTCGTCTGTCATCCAAAGGACTTCTTCAGTCCGAGAAGCCACAAACAAAGGGACTCCAGTTTGTTTGTGACTTCTCGGACTGAAGAAGTCCTTTGGATGAAGGACGTAATGTTCTAGCAATAAAAAGAAACTGTGCAGATGACCTGACTGAACATTGTTGGATTTATACCTGGATTATTGAGCATGAACTGTTGGTCTTGTTTTAAACTGGGTTTTGTCGGGGTGTGTGTGTGTGTGTGTGTGTGTGTGTGTGTGTGTGTGTGTG